ACAGTAGATGCAGACGATGAAGAACGATTTTTCACAGTCATAGATCTTCGACGGCGTCTTAGTTGCAAAATATATTGTAATTTTGCAAATTTATCAGCAACGATATTTCCAGAAGTAGCAGCAAGTAATGGTCTTGAAGAAACTTTTTGAGGGAAAGCTTGCTGAGAATTTTCAACGGGATTGATGTAGGTAGCTGTAGTGGCGGTCGTTGTACCAGTTTTTTCCGAACTAATCTTATCAGTTTCATCATCATCACTTTCAGTAATAGTACTAATAGAACTTTTAAAGTTATTAACATGATGGTCATGATGATACTGCTAGACCTTGAGGGAACAATCCGCTGTACATTTTCTTCGTTAATAGGAATTTGAGGAGAAGATGAAGGTTGATTGTGTGGTTGATTCTTTTTAGAATCTTTAATTGAAAGATTCTTATTTGAATCCAATTCCAATAAATGACCATGAAAAATTTTGTTTGCAAAATGAAGTAAGGCAGATTGAGAAGTTTGACAAACTTTACAAGGACTTGGAGAAGAATCCAAATTTGGAACTATAGATTCAACAGTGATAGGAACAACGAAACGAATAATATCTTTATGACGATTTGCTAATTGAATTGAAATGACTAAACGATGACGAATTTCTATTCCAAATAAATCATAATCATGTACGAGAGGCTCGGTAATAGGAAGTTGAAAAACCATTGGTCTACATTGTAATTTTAAACGTTCATTTCGCGGTAGATCAAAGCGAAAAGGGCCAGAGATAACCTTTGTAGCAGAATCAATTACAGTTGGAGGACTAGAATCTTCTATATCAGTTTCAGGAAGAGAAGCTTTCAGACATTCGCTTTGAACAAAGCTAAAAGTAACGTTGGCAACACGCTGACCATCCCACCGAGCATGAAATCTAAGAGCATCAGAGTTGAGACGTATGATTTTTGGCACGATAAATTCGAAATCAAGACTATTTTTTAATAAAAAAATAAAATAAAATATTATGAAAAAAATCATTTATGATATTATAAACAAGATAATTAAATACATACACATTTTTTTTCGAACCAATATATCTTTTAGCCTCAAGACCACGTGTGATATATTCATCATTCAATAGCATAGCACGTTCCACAAAGATATCTACGATATCTACAACTTTATTAAGAGAATTTAATTCGTCGGTTTCGCGTGGAGTAAGTTCGGCCTTCAGGAAATACTCGCATAACACGTGATCCGAGCTAATTGATTCCGGTAAATCACTGATGAATGGGTGATGAACGAACAACAATAATAATAATAATAATAATTAATAATTAATTAATAATTATTAAATAATATAAATAAGATTAAAAATACTGTATCTAATTAAGAGAATGCATAAAATCAAAACACGTAGATTCATACCCTGGAATGAGAAATTCGAAAAAGAATTCATGAAGACCTGGATAAAGGGTTCGTTTATTTACTAATAGTATACACGTTGAAAACACAGTTCCTTGACGTGGAATAGTGGCGTCATTTATGGTTGAACCATTATTTGTTTTACAAAATCTAAAGTCACCGGACAAGGTTAACATGATTTCCTAAAGGTAAGTAAAATGGAAAGGGGAGAGTTATTATGCGAGCATAGATACACAATGGTAACACTCATGAATCTCATCTTTTAATAAAAATAAAAGTATACCTTCACGTTTAACTTTCCAGCAACTTCTAATTTAACTTTCCCCCTTACCGTCCGTGATTTATTAGAGGTTGGAGGACCATGAAATATGACCCTATTCTTTTCTAGTATTATTTCAAAATCAACTATAATTTGACCAGACTGTAATAATTTTAAATTCCG